GAATCAGAGCCTTAGGGGGTAGAGCCCAGCAATGTGGTTGTAACTAGCTCTCCAGGTAATTCAGCTGTTTATTCAAATTTGAAAACATGTCGGGACCACAGGATTATTGTCAAAATCACAGATGGAGGCACAGGCCAGTCTTCAAAGAAGATGCTGACCACTGGTCATTTTTACCAAGGAGACAGAATCCAAAATTAGGGCCAGACATGTTTCTCAATCCCCAATTCACTGGATAAACGCTCTCCAGACAAAAAGGGGCACACACCACAGGAGTCAGAGACTTTAGCATTCCTTTTGTGATTTTTGTGGAGAATGGGAAGTCTTTCTGGGTGCTGCTTCCTCCATGCTACCAAAGCCTTGACAGGCCACCTCGTCACTAGGTAGAAATTGCTTCTGATATTACTCATTGCCCTTTTAAGATAAGTGTTTTATCACCTTTCCCCCAGGCGGAAGACTTTATGAAGGTCGGCACTGAGGCTACCTCATTCACTCTTGAGTCTGTAATGCCCAACACTTGGTTGGCATTTTATAAGTGTTGGCAGTGTTGCTTTGACTTGGCAGAGCTTCTTAAAAGCAACCTAGACATTAAGGTGGTGCCTGCCTCGTCCTTCCCAGATCTCTCCCCTTCCCTCTCCTCCTATCCTGTGACTTCCGCCACACTGAGCACCTAAGAGCAGCACCATCCTAAGTTTCCCAGCATTTGAGATGTTCCCTTTGGAAAACAATTGTATACAAGGAGAGTACTTTATTTTTTCTATTTTATTTTATGTGTGCATGTGTGTGTGTACCTTCAAATCGGATCTGACTGGTACTGGAGGAAATTGTCCCTCCTTCTCCAGCAGAGCATCTGGTGAATTCGAACCACACACCTCTGGGATTGCAAGGCAGTTTCTTGCCACTAGGCCACCAGAGCTCCTTAGGAGAGTACTATATTATACTGGCGTATTGTTGTGTGTCATTTCATTTGAGCATGCAAGGAACAAAATGTATGTGACTGGTTGAAAACACAGTAAATATTTGTAATCTTTCACTTACATCATAATAAAAAAGTATAATGCAAATATTTCACCAAAGAAGATGCACAAATGGTCAATAAGCATATGAAATGTGCTAAAAAAAATATTTTTTTGTCCTCAGCTATTCTTACACATTTTTCCTTCTAGAGAAATTTTAGAAGAGTTTTGTCAAACCCCACCAATAGATTGGTATGGATTAAATTTTATGGCTTAATCTGGAATACCATGTTTCTTGACAATGTTAAGTCTTCCTGTCCAAGAATACACCTACCAATTCAACCAATTCATATCTCTTTTTTTTTTTTTAATGCCTTCAGTGAAATCTCACCATTTCCTTCATTTCAGAATCAACTCGTTGGCAATGGTTAGAAATTTTTTTGGTTTACATTTGTTTGTACATTGCTGGTGTAAATTGGCATGGTTTAGGGGCTGACCACATTAATGTACTCACTTCCTAATCCTTGCTACTCTTTGGTTCATTGTCTGGAGGAGGCCAGGTAAAATAGCCTTTTTCTCCATCTTTTTAATGGTTTTACTTTTCATTTCTTGCCTTCTGTTGACAATACCCAATATAATATTGAGAGTCTAATTTTGCCTCCTTCCCTCTTTCTTTTTCCTTTTTCCCTGACTTAATGTTACACTATTCTTAAAAGAATGGCGCTATTTGTTCTTTTTTATAGAGATGTTCTTTAAGGTATAAAGAAAATATCATTCTGTGCCTATTTTATTAAGAGATTATATTTCTTCCCCAAGAAATAAGAGTTTGAGGGTTTTTTTTTCAAAGACCTTTTCAGCGTCTAGCAAGAAAATCAAATGGGGTTTTTTTTTTCCTTTGACTGCCTTTGACTTCAGATATGATTAATTATAGATTTCCTAATATTTAGTCAGTGAAACATATTACACTTGGTCACAGTATATTCTTTCAATACCATGCTAGATTTGATCTGCTAATATTTTACTTGGGATTTCGGTCTCCCTCGCTGTAATGAGGTAGGTCTCTAGTCACATTTTTCGTGCTTTCTTTGTTGGGTTTTTGTCTGAGTTTTATTAGCTTCATAGTATAATTTGGAATATCTTCTCTGTTCTAGAATCTAAGAATTATCCACTCGTTGAATGGATGAAAGAACTCCCTATAAAACTAGACCAGTGCTTTTGACTTTTAGAACATTTTCCAACTGCTCTTTATTCAGCAGGTTTTTATAATAAGGTTTTTTTATAATAAAAACCTTTATTATTTAAAGGTTTCATTTAAAGGATTAATTTCATTGATATTCCCACATTTATTACATATGGTCAAACAAAATCAGTTACCATTTTTTAAATGATGCCCCTCTATTATTTTCTCTTTTCAGCTGCTCAAACATGCCAGTAATTTGGGTGGGTTTTTTTTAAGTGTGTGTGTGTGTGTGTGTACATACCATCAAAACAGATCTGACAGGTACAGGAGGAGATTGCCACTCTTTCTCCAGCGGAGCATCTGGTGGATTTGAACCCCATACCTCTGGGATTGCAGTGCAGCTTCTTGCCATTAGGCCACCAGAGCTCCCTGCCAGTAATTTGTTTCATTGACTTTTATGAGTTATCAATTCTATTGCTTTCTTTGAAATTTGGATTTGAACCATTTTTTTCCTCTGTACTGTTTTCTCCCTCCCACTTTCTTTCTTTACATTTATTTTGTAGTTGCTAAGTCAAAAAACAAAAAACCCACTAACTCGTTGTCTTCATATCAGTACCTACTCACAGCTGACCCTCCAGAAGGTTTCCATTGGAAAAGACTGCCCATAGGAAGAGACAGCCCATCTTTCTTCCTCAGAGCAGCTGGTAGATTCAAACTGTGCACCTTTGGGTTGGCAGTTCAACTCCTTAGCCACTATGCCACCAGAGGTCCTGGGTTTGTAATTATAAAATGTTGATCTAGTCAGAACCGAAGTTTAAGCCCCAAAGTCCTAACCACGCCTACCCTGAGATGCTGGGCATTCTCTTACCTCCAACCAGTGCTCTAGGTCCCCATATTCTACCCCTGTGTTCTGAACTTAAAGCTTCCTAAGAACAAAATTCTAGCATTTCTTTGACTTGAACCTTGTTCTACCCTTCACCAATACAGAGAGGGTAGGGACCTCTTTTAAATAAGTTACTCTTTCTTTCCTCTGGATTAAGAGAAGCCAGAGAAGAAAGACACATTTTTATGTCCTTGACATCCCTCCAGAAGTGTCTCAAGCAGAGCCCCGTTCACTTCATCTGTCCCAAGTGGCAGGATCATAACAAGCCTTTCCACCGCACCTTTCTACTCTCCAAAAGAACTAAACAAAGAAAAGTGGAGAAGGAGCCCACATTTTATTACTGTGGTGTGGTTTGACCGAAGATGCCTCTAAACTCAGATTTTTAAAACAGCTCTGGATCACTCGGAAGGTTGGAGCAAGCTCTTTGCTGGGTGTTGGGTCAGCTTTCTCTTCTGTTCAACCCTCCCAACACACACACACTGAGATCTTTTGGTATCATTAGTAAAATCTATGTCTGACAATGAAGCAGTGAAGTTCAGCTTCAGTCCCCTGCCCACTCCCCACCCCACGCACAAATGGCTAGAATTCTGCTGCCTTGCTTAGATGTCAGGGTCAACAGCAAAGCCTCCTCCTGCATTAAGTATGAATTTCTTCTACAGTCTGGTCCTAAGAAAAATCTTCTTCTAAAGCACTTCTTTTTTTCGACTGCAAGAACATCCAGATAGCTGAGAAAGCACAGTGGCCCACTTGAGGAAGACGTCGTCTCCCACATGCGAGGCTTTCATTTTGCTTACTCTCCTACAGTCTTTACCCCGCTTCTCTCAAGTCCGTTCCAACTCCTAATTGGCCTTACAGGACAGAACAGAGCTGCCTCGTAGGGTCTCCAAGGCTGTAAATCTTTACAGAAGGAAGTAGGTTTGAACAGTGTGGTTAGCAGTCAAGCACCTCACAACTGCACCACCAGGGCTGCTGCTTTATGTTCTCATAAATCCTGCTTTGGAAGTGTACAGAGTGAAACATATTAATAACTCCATGTGCATCAGAGTAAACTGTGGTCCATCAGGTTTTCAACAGCTCATGTTTTGAAATAGATAACCAGATCTTTTTATGGGTGCACGTGGGTGAACTCGAACCTCCAGCCTTTTAGTTAGCAATTAAGTACATTACATTACATCACCCAGACACTCCCTGATTTCTGTGGAGACCTCAACTCAATTGAAATTGATCACTTCCCCCCACCCCCACCCCATTACACAAGATGGGGAGAGGAAGATCCTCCAGGACAAGCCTCACTTCTTCCAGGCTTGTCTCCCTCCGACAGCCTGTGAGGGAAAGGCCAGAGCGCTATGGAAGGAGCAGAAGCCTGGCCCACCCGGACTCACCTGGCCTGTGCACTGGGCTGCATGCCCAGCCCTGAACCTGACCACTAGGGACCACAACTAGGTCACACTAAAGTCACACAGGGCATGCCTCGCCTTTCACCCATGTTCCAGGAAGGAAGTGGAGAAATAAAAAGTGGCCAGTGGAAAATCAATGGCCTTGCCTGGAGCAATGGTGTAATTAGTGGCCCTGCCAGTCAGCGCCCATAAATGCTTTGTTAAGCACTTACTGCAAGAAATTAAGCCCCTGTCCAATGGCTTTCCCATAACAGAAATCATCTATCTGGATTTTACTCTTTCAGAAATAAATTTCTGTGGCTGTTGCTCTTTACATGTAGCAGCTGAACAGCATTAAATATTTGGATGTCTTTCTGATTATATTTAGGATAATGATGAAAGCCACGAATTATGGCTTGATGAAAGCCTTGACATGTTTATTGCCTGTAATCCATTTTATAGCCCTTTCTTCTAGAGCTTAAGTTGCCAAACAGGATCCCTGTAAGCTGGGTAAGAAGAGAATGTCAGAGTCCCCTCGTGGGTTCACCCCTTGGAGGCAGGCTCTCGGGGCTGGCCCTCCCCTTACTAGCATTGATTCTCACCCACAGTTCCACCTGTCATCCGAGTCTACCCAGAGACCCAAGCACAGGAGCCCGGGGTGGCGGCCAGCCTGAGATGCCATGCAGAAGGCATTCCCATGCCCAGAATCACTTGGCTGAAAAATGGAATGAATGTCTCAACTCAGATGTCTAAACAGCTCTCTCTCCTAGGTAAGACTCCCCTACCATCAGTGCCTTTAATACCAGCCCCATCAACTTTCCAGCTGAATGGAAAGCCATTCCCCAGGAATGGGAGCCTTCCCCAGGAATGGGAGCCAGGGCCATGATTCCTTTCCAGGCCAGACATGTTGGGAGTGAACAAGTGTTCCCCTAACATCTTCTGATCTTTGGGCCCACACAGGATTTCTGAGGGCAGCTATCTTCCACCCTGGTCTCACTCAGTGTATTTCTGCTGTACCAGCCCTTCCTGGGCATGCACCAGCTTCCCTGCCAGTTTTCAATCCCAGTATACCCACAGGGCCCCTGAAGAGACTGCAGAGGGAGGGATGGGGCCTCCAGCTCAGCAGGCCACCCGCACCCTGAGCACTGTCCTTTCTGCAGCCAATGGGAGTGAACTCCACATCGGCAGTGTTCGCTATGAGGACACCGGCGCATACACCTGTATTGCCAAAAATGAAGTGGGTGTGGATGAAGACATCTCTTCCCTCTTCATTGAAGACTCTGCTCGAAAGACCCGTGAGTTAAATGGCGATGAAGAGGCTGGGTGGCAAGAAATAGCACTGGACAGGGCTGTACCTACCAATCATAAATCCCTGAAAATGGAGGTAGACTCCAGGTATTTCTGTGCACAAAGATAGGGACACAGGGTACCTGGGGGTGAGCAGGACTCTCTTGATGGAATCATTTAGATGACTGTAGACCAAACTAGGCAAAGGAAGCCCTTGAGGCAGTAGAGAGGGCCAAGGACCACAATGACCATCCCAATCTTATCTGCCACCTGCCTACTCTGTGACCTGAGCCTCTGTCTTTCATGCACAAAATCCCTCACCGGGGCCTCCCACCAGGTACTGCCACCCAAGGTGCCCCATGAGCTGGCCTGTGGGATAACAGCCCACCTGCGCATTCAGGACGCTCTGCCTGTAACTGCACCTCCTCGGAAGGGCCTGCAGGTGTGGTTTCATGGGCAGGATTCCTGGTCACAATCCTTTTCCTCTGATGAGTGACTCCAGGAAAAATATTTATCATGAAGGGAAATAATTTAAAAAATAAAATAAAAATATGGCCGATGCTCTTCCTAGGGAGTTTCTGAATCCCTAGTGGGAAAAGCCAAGTTCTCCTGGAAATAGTCCAGGAAGCCTGTAAGAGATGCTATTCACTCTTTGCTGTCAGCCAAACATGGGAAATGCCATTAGTTTTTGTGGTCTTAGGGCCTGATCTTGAGACCTGGAAGCATTTGTTCATCTCCTGAGCTCTGCTCCTGTCAAGGACTATTTGTTAAGCAGAGTGGTGCCTGTTTTATAAACTATGAAGTTCTGTACCAATATGTCCATCAGCGGAATCACCACAACAATGGTTTTGACATTGCTTTCTTCTCTCCTTCCCTCAACCACGTGCCAATTCTCCATCAACTGCAGTTGCAAACATTCTGTGGCGAGAGGAAGGTACCCAGCTGAACTGTTCTGTGTTGTGCTTGTGATCACCTGTGTTGTGGTTCCATGAGGGCCATCCTTCCATGAGCCACCATCAGCTTGTTTAGACACCAAGCCATGCCCCCACGGGAGCCTGCTGTCCCACATCGCCTCTGGACGGGGCAGGAAAGGCAGTACCAGACTCAGTGCACTCATGGCGTCAGAACCAGAGGCTGGCGAGGTCTGTAATGGCAAATTTTAAAATTGGCACATTTCCATTTAAAGCTACTTTGTAGCATCCAGCCAAACCATTTGACAGGTTCCGAGTCAGATGTGGATCTTAAATATTTTTTCCAGTGATACCAATGTCAGGTTTAGTGCTTTCTTACCTTGGACTGTTAAAACACAAAGAAACCCCCAAAAGCTCCAGAGCCACTTGACAGGAGCTGTATCTTACATAGATTTGAAGAAATCCTAAAGGAAAAGACTACTGTGATATCTATAAAATTCCATTTTTAACTATATAAATTTTAAAATGTGTATTTTAATGATCAGACAATCTTTAGCTATTAGGTGGAATCATAATGGCCTCTTGGCAAATCAAAAATGCTCTGGTATCAACAGCCTCATATAGTTCAGCCTGTCTGAAAAGCCAACTCACCTATAGGAGCTGGTTACAGAGCGGGGCCTCTGCTAGGGGCGCCTGTGTGTGCAGGTCCCTCTCTCCTCTGTGCCCCTCCACCACAAACTACCTTAAAGCCTCTAGCTTTCCAGTTTGGTGAGTAAGGAAGGGAGTATGAGAAGCAGCAGAATATGCTGTCATTTTAGGATTAAGTACATAGTCTCCCTCTTTGAAAAAAATCTATTTTCTATCAGATTTTTCTCAAGAACTTTGCGTGATGTTACCCACAGCCTAATCTTACAGATGCATTCACATAAGAAGCATAACAAAATTCTTGAGTGTCGAGCACGAAAACTGAAACCATCTGGGTGCAAAACAAGGCAGGGGTCACAAAATGAGAAAAGCACTACCCGTGGGTGTTACGGTTTGCTGACCACAGACCCTCACTTGTGCCTGGTGCTGCCTGAGCCGAGCACCTAGGCCACTCACACACAGAGAGCTTTTGTTCTGTGTTTTTAAGAGGTTTTGTTTCTCTAAAATGAGATTACTAAAAAATGCTGCAGTTTTAATAGAGGAGAATCGCAAAAATGCAAGAAGGAGCCTGTGATGTGTGGATACAGCGGTAAAGCCCCAGTGCCCTGAGGCCTGCCTTGCAGTGAACTAACCGTGGCCACCTGGGCAGCGAACCAATTCCACTAGCATGCTGAGAAGAACCAACGGATACTTGTACCTTCTGCTAGTGAAATCTGAGGCACAAGGAATCTCAGTAAAAGAAAGAAGTTGGTGAAAGTAGACAAAAGCAAAGAAAGCTTCTCCATGCCCCATAGCAGAAGCTAAATTCAAACACAACCTTCCAGGGGGCTCCTTCGAAGTCAATTATTTATCAGATGAGTGTGTGCGGAGTCTCACGTCCCAGTACCATCTGTGAGCCAGGCACTGTGCTCAGCCCACGATGTGGCTGCAGCTACCAACCCCTGTGGATTCTATTAAGCCTTCAATCTCATGTTGGCTCTTCCAGCTATCGATTTTCTAGGAAGCCCAGGTAAGCAGTTCCCAGGATCTGTGATTTAAAAGGGACTTTGGCCCCCATGTGGCCCTTAGGCTTGACCAAAAGAACTTCGCCAAATGAGAGTGTATGAAGGAGAAGATTCTGCTGTGGGCACGACAGGTGGGGTCAGAGCAAGGATGTGTCTGGCATCCTTTGCTCTAAAACCCCTGGTGTTGCAGGGCAGAGAGAAGGCCTTGTGAGCACCCAGCTTCACCTAGCACCTGAGAGCCAGGCTGCCCAGCATACCTGTGCTCCGAAGGCCTCCCCAGAGTTACAGCTCTCTCCAGGCTGGGCTTAAGGACCAAACGCTGGCACAGTAGGGCTGATGCTGAGTTGATAACTTCAAGCCATGCCAGAGGCCATGCTCGCTGATGCCTCACTGTTGCCAAGAGCCGGAGGCCCAGAGAACCACCTGCCTGCAGAGCCAGAAAGAGAAGTACAACTGCAATTCCTAATGTACTGTTTTCTAACACATTAAAAACTTACTTGCACTGGCAATTAAGCCCAGTAAGACCCTGGTAATGGTCTAGCTTTAAAACTGAAGGGAGAAAGGTGAGAGGGAAAGAGAAGGAATGAGAGCTCTGGTCTTTAGGCAATCTTTGTGCTGTTTGTCTTTTAAAAAACAGCAGAGACCATGAGCCAGGGGCTTGAAGTCCAGTCCCACTTCTGGCACCAAAGTTTCTAGCCCCAACCAAAACCTCTCCTTCTTGGACCTCAGTCTGTTTTTAAAACAAGTAAGTCTGCTTCAGGGACCTCTTCAGAGTGCTAAAGAGCAACGATGTCAGTCTAGAGACTAAGGTGTGCCTGATCCAGATCATAGTCTTTGGAGTTACTTGCTATGAATCAGAAAGCTGGACAATGAATGACTAAGGATGACAGAAGAAGAATTTATGCCTTTGAGTTGTGATGCTGGAGAAGAGTATTGAACATATCATGGACTGCCAAGAGAGCAGGTCTGTCCTGGAGAGGGTGAAATGAAGTTGTTCTCTGGAGACAAAGATTTTGAAGCTCCGTCTCATATATTTTGGGCATGGAGCCAGGGGAGACCAATCCTTGGAGAGGGACATCATGCTTTGAAGGGTGGAGGGACAGTGAAAGAAAGGAAGACCTCGGATGAGATGGCTTGACACAGTGCCTGGGATAATGGGGCAGGTGTGTTGGAGTCAGTGAGACTGACTCAGGATAAGGTAGATTTCAGTTATTGTACATAGGATTACTATGAGTTACAGTCGACTCGACAGCACATTAGAACAGTAACAACAAACTGAACTAACTTGTCTCCAAGGCTCCTCTTTTGACGTTCTGAGGCAGACCTTCTCTCAGACCATCACAGCCCTCACCTAGGTGTGGGCAGACTGGAGACCCTGGGCTCTGTCCACCAGGCACCGGCTGACACAGAGAACTGAGCAGGGTTGAAGTGTGAGCAAGTAATAATAAGCCAGCCCAGAAAGGACTAAGACAGTATAGAAGAGTACTGACAATACTGACAATAGGATTTTTTTTTTTATGTTAGTAAGTAAAACATGCAAGCAAGATTCTGCTGAAAATTATCCAAAAGCGACTGGGGCAGCACATCAACAGAGAACTGCCAGATGTGTAGGCTGGGTTTAGAAGAGGTCGTGGTACTAGGGATATTAGTTAATGTGAGATGAATCTTGGCTGAAAGCAAGGAATACCAGAGGAATGTATATCTGTGTTTCATTGACTATGAAAGGCGTTTGACTGTATGGATCACAACAAACTGTGGCTGACTGAGAAGAATGGGAATCCCAGAACACTTGATTGTGCTTATGTGAAACTTATACTTGAACCAGGAGGCAATCATCAGAACAGAGCAAGGAGTCACTGCATGGTTCAAAATTGGGAAGGGTGTACACCAGGGATGTATTCTGTCTCCATATCTTTTTCAATCTATATGCGGAACAGATTATCCGTGAGGCTTAGCTGTATGAGGAGGAATGTGACATCAGGATTGGAAGAAAAGTCATCAAAAACCTGCGTTTTACAGATGATACAGGCCTGCTTGCTGAAACTGAGGACCTGAAATTCTTACTGCAGAAGGTCAAGGACTACAGCCTTCAATATGGATAGAAGCTCAACATCAAGAAAACAAAGATTCTCACCACTGGGCCAACTAGCACCATGACTATGGATGGTGAAGAGAATGAGATTGTTAACAGTTTTAGTTTGGTTGGCTCCATAATCAACAATCTTGGTACCAGCAGCAAGGAAATCAAGAGACGAATTGCATTGCCAAAGTCTGCTGTCATGGTACTGAAGAGCAACAATGTCTGTCTGGAAACTAAGGTGCACCTGATCCAGGCCATAGTTTTCACAATTGCTTACTATATGTCAGAGAGCTGGACAATGACTAGGGATGATAGAAAGAGAATTGATACCTTTGAGCTGTTGTGCTGGAGGAGAGAGTGAAATATACTATTGCTAGGAGAACAAACAGGTTCGTCCTGGAGAAGGTGAGACCAGGCTGCTCCTTGGAGGCAAGGATTCTAGGGTTTTGTCTGACATACTTTGGACATGTTAAAAGAGGGACCAGTCCTTGGAAAGGAACATCATGCTTGGGAGGGTGGAGGGACAGCACAGGAGAGGAAGACCCTTGATGAGATGGATTAATTCAGTCACTGGGACAAGAGGGGTAGGTGTGAGAAACATAAGGTTGGCACAGGATAGAGCCGGGTTTCAGTGCTCTTGTACATTGGGTCGCTATGAGTTGCAAGCAACTTGACAGCACATAGCAACAAGTAAAATATAGTTGCTAGCAAGTCACTCCTGACTTAAGGACCCCACATGTCAGAACAGAACCAGGCCCACAGGGTATTCAATGGCTCATTTTTCAGAAGTAGATGCCAGGCCTTTCTTGTGAGATGCTCTTGATGAACTTGGCCTCCAACCTTTTTTTTTCCCAGCCAAGTACATCAGTTGTACCACCCAGAGACTCCCAAACATTCTTAGGACCCCCACATTCCAGGGAGTGACACTATGTACAGATACATTTTAAAAATCAAAAGCCTGTGCTTTTTTGGAGTCTTTTGGACTATTCAGACTTGACTGTTTACAATAAATAAAGAGGCCTTCCTTTCATAATGGGGAAGGTCAAAGCTAAAGCCACCTTTCATTTGAAGACTGTGCTGAAAGGTCAGCCCTAGAGGACACAGCCCAGGTGTGCACATCAGGGAGGCCAGCCTGTGGCTGCAGAGCCTGTGATGTGCTCTGTGGATTCACAGCTCCTGGGGGTCATTTCTCTTCATCCCCTGAACACACCATCCAGTCAAAGTGTTTGTGAGATGACTGTCCCCCACCTCAGCCCACCTCGACCAGGATGTTTCATCTTGTGTCTGTGCCAGTTACATTCAGCTGCTGGGTTTGCTTGTGCTCCATGTTGCATGTAGCCTGTGTGGGACCAGCTTCTGGAGCCCTAACCATGGTGGCATTTGTCCCTTCCAGGCCTCAGTGTCGGAAACATGTTCTACGTCTTCTCTGACGACGGCATTATTGTCATCCATCCTGTGGACTGTGAGATCCAGAGACACCTCAAGCCCAGTGAGAAGATTTTCATGAGCTATGTAAGTTTCTCTATCTGGGACAGCTTCTATACCACACGCAGACGAAATCCTAGAAAGCATTCTTTAGCCATGTGTATCAGTGTCTTAAATTTTATTTACTGTGCGTGGTGTGGCACCAAATGTGTTCCATGTCTAAGGTTGACGGTTAAGTTCTCATTCGCTCATCTGGCAGACACATCCATATACTCCTGCCTCCAGGTGATACCTGGGGGGTATTGATAAGTTCTTGGTGTCCAGAACTTCATAATCAAATGACAAAAACAGTGGTGTCAACAGTAAGCTTCTGAACAGTGTTTTTACAAGCATGTACAGCGTTCACTGGCAGTAGTGAAGAGGGAGGCTGGAGGCCGCTCTCAGCCTAAGGAGACAAAGTCAAAGAAGGCTTCTGGGGGAGGTAACACCTGAGGTCAGTTCCAAAGTATGAGTAGGAATTGGTGACATGAGATAGAGAACAGAGGCCCAAGCAGGCCAGCGTGTCCAGGGAACCACAGGTATTTCTGTTAAGACTGGAGAGAACAGATGGGAGGAGGAGCCTAAGATTAGGCCAGAAAAGTAAACAAGGGACAGTGCACACAGATGTACTAAGGTGAGGAGTTCTGAAGAGATTCTAAAAGCTCTGGAACTACTAAAGGGCATGCAAAGAAGGGCCGTGATCAGATGCCTTAGATGCACACATGGCCTCAGGGAGAGTAATGGTCTCCAAGAGTGGACTAGAAGCACAGAAGTGGGTGGAGAGGCTGTTGTCATCATCCAGCCAAGGAAGAATGATGAGCTGGTGGCAGAGGGACTAGAAAGAGAGGACAGCAAAAGAGAGGAAGGCCCTCCGCCAGGTCGGTGACACAGTGACTGCAGCAGTGAGCTTGATCCTGTCAGATTGTGAGCATGGCACGGAATAGGACAATGTTCAGACTGGTTGTTCATAGGATCCCTATGATCTGTACTTGCCTCAAGGACACCTAACAAAAATGACAGAGCTACTTAAAAGGTAGGGCCAACAAGGGGCATGAGGATGATCCAGAGACAGGAGGAAGAGCAGCCAGTTGTGGGGAATTCAGGCCATGGGCTGGGTGCTGGGGTCCCAGGAACAGAGAAGATAAGCGTGGGATTGGGCAAATGGAGCTGGCCTGAGTGGAGGACCCAGGGGACAGGTGCACAAAAACATTCACAGGCAGTGGGGATCCAAAGAGGCCTAGGCTCTCTGATGAACACGTCAAGCGATGAGGAGACCTAGAAGACAAGGAGTCATCATCTTCAAGCAAGCCTGTGTTTGCAAAAGCAAAAATGGTCAGCCAGGCCTTACAGCAGCCCTCAAGGTGCTAGGGTGTGAAAACATGGAGTCCCCAGAGTGTTAAAAGTGATAATGTAACAGAAAGAAGCAGGAGACATGTTCACAAGTGCCTTAAGAGCCAGCTCTCCAGTCCTGACCAGGGCTTACTGCAATTTACTGGCTAAGAAGCTAAACAAGGACTCAGGAAAACTCTCTCAGCCCTAAGGCCCAGGGGTCAAGAGGCTTTGCCTGCAGGCCTCTGTCCTTAAAAGGCCTCTCGTGTTCTGCCCATGGTGTGAGTGTCTTACCTCCTCTGCTAAGCCCTATTCTCCTTGAGGTAGAAATGCAGCATGTTGTGAACTGCTCAGGTTCTCTCAGCTCGCTTAAATGCTCTCCGCCAGAGGGATCACTGTGCGATATGCGCAGTCTGTCCTCCACATGGTACAATGAGACCTGGTGAGCAGTGATGGGCGTGCAGCTCGTGGAGGAGGGAGCGGCCCGGGCAAGGTCCTGAGCACACTTACCGCATTGCTGCTCTCAGGCTCCTGACATTTCTCAGGGTGGGGTTTTTTGTTTGTTTATTTGTTTGGGTTTCTTTTTTAGCTTGGAAATGGCAGTCTTCCAGACTATTTCATTTTAATTAATCATTTGTTAAAAGTGCTACCTCAAATGAATTTTATCTCCACATAATAGCCATGGACCCATTTCGAAAAGCTTGTCCTAGTTAACATCTAGCAGTTAGGTTTAAATAATTGTACTCAGTCACACATGGGTACTTGTTTTCCTATATATTTGCAATAACCTAACCTGTCCCTTGGGAGAGAGATCACCCCCTTCTTACCAGGATTCACTCCATTTTCCTGGGTAAGAAGTTAGAATAAGACAGTGAGAAAGGTCTCAAAGACAGTGCAGGCAAACACAGGGCCATGGTGAGCTATGAAACTATAGTCATTTTCATCTAGAAAATGCTGAGACACCTCACAGTAGTATCACAGTAGGGCAACAACCCTCTTTGTAAGAGCTAGGTGAACAGTAGGTCAGTGCCCTCAGTGGTGGATGAGATGCCCTCTAGATCCTGCAGGAAGCAGCATAATGCAAGGATGTGTTCTGAAGAGCCAACAAATACTAAGAACCAAAGAGGAGGGTCAGGAGAGAGGGAAGTGGATTGAACAAGGGAAGGAGGAGATGAAAAAAGAGAGGTATGGCAGCCTCTCTCCTCCACAGGGAGCTCTAGTGACCTAATGGTTAGGAGCTGTGCTGTCACCCAAGGCACATGGTTCAAATCTATCTGCAGCTCCACAGGATAAAGATGGACCATCTCCTGTGCAGTTTAGTTCGGGTCGGTTGTGACCCAACAGTACATAACAACAGCAACAACATCTCCTCTACAGGAAGAAATCTGTCCTGAAGCAGAAGGTGCCGCCCAGCCATGCCAATGGGCATCTGCCGTCAATGTCAGGAACCGGTACATCTACGTGGCCCAGCCAGCACGGAACAGAGTCCTTGTGGTCGATGTCCAAGCGCAGAAAGTCTTACAGGTACAGCTCTGTAAGGGAAGCAGGGGAGACTTCAAATTCCAGTCACATTCTTCTTCACTTTCGGTACCCTCCGAGGTCCTCTGGGAAGTGGTCAGGCTGGGGGAGGAGAAAGAGATGATGATTCGTGTGCAGCTATTCATTAAGTATTTCTTGTCCACTATGTGCCGAGCACTGTTCTAGGTGATTGGGAAACAGCTGTGAAAGAGCAATGAAGTCCCTGTGCTCATGGAACATATATTCTTGTTGGGAAGACAAACCATTAATCAGAATTTTAGGGAACAGTAAATGGTAAAGGCTGTGTGGGGAGGGGAAAAAAGGTTAAATGTGACAGAGGGACTGGAAGAGTAATTTAAATCAGCCCTCTCTCTCTGGAGGGGCATAGAATCTGAGGTCTAAATGCCATGTGGGGTTGAGACTCTGGAACAAAGGGAAGACCAGTGGCTCCAGGAGAGTAGATACAGAAAAGAGTGGATGTAACAAAGTCAGAAGTAAACAGAAGCTAGCCCATATGGGACCTCGGAGGCTAGTTAGGACTTAGAAAAGGTGATGTGGGATAGTAAGTCACAGAGGGATGTGGTTTGCTGAATAACTGCCCCTAAAATAGCTATGTCCTCATTTCCAGAAACTGTAAATATTACCTTTTATGTAAAAACTGAGAGTAAGTTAAAGATCTTTTTAATGAGTGTCCTAATAGGAGGGAGACAGGGAAATTTGACACCACCAAAGCAGTCACTGTGTCCACTGCTGGCATTGAAGGAAGCAAAAAGAAGCATGAGCCCAGGAATGCAAGAAACCCAGCTCTACAGGCCAGGAAACAGACTTTCCCCTGGAACTTCTAAAAGAGCTGAAACCTTGCCAACTCCGTGAAATTGAATTTAAACTTGAGGCCTCTAGAACTATGAAAGAATCTATCTGTCTTGCTTTAAATCACCAAACTTTGGTGATTTGTTACAAGAGCCATTGGAAAGTAATACATTATAATAGAACCGTGAGAAGCAGGGAGGAAGAGCAGGTTTTGAAGCTGTTGAAAGAGGGCATGGAATAGGACTTCAGCTAAGATTGAGATGCTCGTAGGTATGTAATTAGTGATGTCGAGGAAGCAGTTAGATAAACAGGTCTGAAGTTCAAGGTGAAGTCTATGTTGAAGATGACAGTTTAGAAGTCATTGTCCTTGCAACGTGGAGTATACTCGGCATGGGGGGGGGGATTGTGTACCAATGAAGGAGTTAGGGGGGGGGGTGGGCAGGGAGAAAACAATGAATGGAAATCCAAAATCTTTGTAAGTGTTCATTGAAATTTAAAAAAAAAAAGAAGTCATTGCCCTATGGATTTTGTGTTAGAGCCCTGATGAGTAAGAAGTCAAAGGGTAGAGGGTCAGCACAGAAGAGGAAGACCCTGCAGAAGATGGAGTGACACAGTGACTGTGGGGTCAGGTGTGTTAGAGATGGTGAGGTTGGGTCCCGGTAGTGAAGGTTCAGAGCCATTGTTCACAGGGTCACTATGAGTGGTTGGTATGTACATTTGAATCAACGACAACCACCAATAGTCAACAAAGGAAACTAAATAAGGAATGACCTAGAGGAGCAGAAGAAAATCAGGATAGAGTGATACTCCAGAAGCCAAGAGAAGAAGAGTGTTTCAAGAAAAAGTTAGTAATCAATGATGCCAAATGCTGCTGAGAGCCCTTGTATATAATTAAGACAGGGAACTGAGCCTTGGATTTGGTTCCAGAGATGTCAGGAATGACTGTGAGAAGAACAAGTATGATGAGCATGGTGGAAAAGCAGCCTTGGCTGAATGGTAGGAGAGAAACTGGAGACAGTGGATATAGACAACTATTTTGAAGATTTTATTGGAAGTAAAAGGCAAACGAGGCAGAAGCTGATGAGGCAGGCGGGGGAGGGAATGACAACAGAATTAATTGTATTATCTTTTTAAGCATAGTGGTGTTACAGCATTTTGTATGCTAATGAGAATAACTGTTCCCCCAGTTCATCGCAGCCTCATCAGAGTAGGCAGGAGCCAGGGAATCTGGAGTGCCTGAGCGGAGATGCCAGCCTTCGATAAAAGCTCCGACAGGCTTTTATGACAGGAGGAGGGAATGGAAGGTATTCAGCCACAGCTGCAAATAAGTGATACAATTGGTGGTAGTTAGATGAAGTTCGCTTCAGGTTTCTTTTATTATTTCCGTGAAATAAGAAGGAAAATCATCACCAAGGCTGGAGGTTTGAAGAAAGCAGTGAAAGTTGACTGGGAGATGGAATTGACTAGAAGAATGTGATGGGCCTGCTAGGCCATAATTGAGGGCCCACTTAAGGATTGTGGATGTAAATTTAAACCAGTCTGCAGGGTTGTGTCTTTTTCTCCAGCTGCCGGCTCATTGTGGGAAGAAAATTGGCTATAACCAGGATTGTGGTTTCTCCTGGCAGATAGGACAGGCAATTTTCTAGTTATCTTTTTGTTACTGATTTCCCTGGCTAGAGAGCATCCTCTGAATGATTTCAGTCCTTTGAAATTTATTGAGACTTGCTTTGTGACCCATTTATAATCAATTTTGGTAAATGTTTCATATGCACTTTAAAAGAACATGTATTCTAACATTGTTAGGGGGAGTATTCTGTATGTATCAAGTTGGTTCATTGGTTGGTATGAATTGTGTTACCCACAAACAGGTGCTGTAAAGCCTAGCTTCTAAATTTCATTTAGGAGTAGCTCATATTTGTTATGTAAATTATGCAAGATTAGGGTCAGGTGTTAAGTCAATTTCTTGTGAGATATGAGAGATTAAACAAGCAAGGGGGAATGGGTTAGGATAGATGCTGAGGCACGTGGAGATTCCCAAGGAAACAGCAAACAAACTGAAGAGAAAATGACCTTCCTCTAGAACCAGCACTAAGATTTTTTTTATTTCTGGTGGCATTACAATGCTAACCAAAGGCAATTGGAATCCACACAGCTATAAGGGGAAAAGATGGGCAGTCTCTTCCCTTGTGAATTACCTCAGAAACAAGCTTTTGAAGATAAGCTATGAGTAAGTTCTTATACAGTGGCAAAGTGAGTGAAATTATGAGAATATAAGAGTGTGAGGTGAGTTTGGAACAGGATAGGGCAAGGTTCTGACTTGTAGTCCACGCGATAATATCTAACAACAATGAGGAAATAAATTGCTATTGGTTAAGGACATTTACTTCTGGTATATCTGTTAAAGCAGCATGGGGTGAGACATTTGTCTTATACAGATAGTTTAGTAAAATTCCGCTTAGTCTATCAGCTACTGGAAGGTGTGTGTTAAAATGTCCCACTATAATTGTACAGGATGTTTCTCCTTTGGAGTTTGACATTTTGCTTTTTATATATTGAAGCTATGTTTTTCATCAACATAGATTTAGCATTGTAATCTCTTTCTAGGGGAAGTCTCCTTTATATAAAATCTCATTTTTAGTGAAGCACCTTGTCTAAAAGTCTATCTTGGGTAGTATTAATGTTATGCACATAGAGTCAGATGTGACCCGTAGCTGACCCACCAGTGGGTTTTTAGAGGCCCTCAATTGCACAACAGGAGATTGTCCATCTTTCTTCTGTGGAGCAACTAGTGGATTCAAACTGTGTGCCTTCGGGTTGGCAGTGCAGCTCTTTACCACCAGAGCTCACTTCAAGTAGTAATGTTGTGTGTACAGTTGAGTTGGAACCAACCCATAGCTGTTTTGCCAGTGGGTTTTCAGAGGCAGTTAATCGCACTGAAGGATACTGCCTACCTTTCTCCCACAAAGTAGCTAGTGAATTCAAATCACTTACCTTTAGGATTAGTATAGTTAAGATTTCTTTTTATTTGTGCTTGTATGGTCTAATTCTGCCTTGCTTTGGGGGGCAGGGAAGTGTTTTGGTTTTTTTCTTTAAATTTTGTGGTCTTTTCTAAAGCTACATGTAGGTGATAAGGAGCTGTCAACACAAAGGCACACAGTTTGAATCTACCAACTGCATGGTGGGAGAAAAGTGGGCAATCTCCTCCTATGCGATTTAAAGCCCCTGAAAACCTACTGGAGGGTCAACTATGAGTCAGCGCTGACTTGATGACACACACAACAAAGTTGAGCTTGGGGGTTTTGTCTAACTGAACAATCTTGACAATCTTAGAGTATTTTCTCTATTTCTATTTGCAATTAATCATATAGTTCTCTCTGCCATTATACTATTTTTTTGTTACCATAAAGATTGCAGCATGAATCCGTGCCTCAATCCAGTGTCGAACAAGTTACTACTTCACTTGTAATTCTAGACACTTTAACTCCAGGAGCCCACTGTCACCTTTTGCTTTATCATTGTAATGAATTTTCATGATTGTAATGCAAGTCATGACTATTATTGTTTTGTACAGGTAATTGTCATTTATATTTACCCATAAGTGTTCTAGGATCATTTTCATTCTAACTGAAGAAGCTTCTTTAGTAATGTGTGCAGGTTGTACTGGCAACAGATCCCACAGTTTTGGTTTGATTATAAACTGTTTTGGGGTTTTTCTAAAGGCTATTTTTACTGCATATAGATTGTTGTTCCTATGTACTGCTGAGTCACCTGCAACCCTGCATACAACAGCTCTGAAGCCTGTCCTGTACTGTCCCTCCTGGCTATGTGCCCAAAATATGTGAAATAGAGTTTCAAAATCCTAGCCTCCAAGGAGAAACATGGTTTCACGCTGTCCATGGTATGTTCAAGATTCTTCTCCAGCACCACTACTTAAAGGCATTGATTCTTTTTCTATCATCTTTACTCATTGTCTAGCTCTCCAATGCATAGCAAGTAATTGCTAACCACCTCGATCTCTTCTCTATCTATCATGGTGCTGCCAATTGACCCAGTGGTGAGAATCTTTGTCTCGATGCTGAGCTTCAATCCATATTAAAGACCTTCAGCGGCAAGCGCTTCAGGTCATCCTCAGTTTCAGCAAGCAAGGTTGTGTCATCTGCATAATGTCGATTGTTGATGGGTCTTCCAATTCTGAT